AAAAAAAAAAAAAAAAAAAAAAAAAAAAAAAAAAAAAAAAAATCTATATGATTATTGATTGATTCATGTTGAATTAGTTTAGACCAACTAATTGAACTAAAACATCTATTCAAATATTTGTCAGTTTAGTTCATTTCAACAACAGTATCACTATATTTCGAAGTAACTTCATATTTTTCTTGCAATTCAATAGAGTTTGGGTAGCTTTAATAGGATTTGTGGTTTCAGCATGAACAACAAATAAATAATTTATTTCTATTCCTATTTTTAGTTCAACTAATTAAACCAAATTTAAGAGTATTTTTAAAATTTTAATTGAATTTAAAATGTTGAAAGTAATAACTTTGTAGAACAGATTTAACGTTTAAATTTTAGTCAAAATTTCAAGATTATATATAGAAAATAGGAAACAACCAAAAAGTACTCTAACTAAAATTAGTTGTTTTTCTAATAAAAAAAATTAACAAAACGTGTTATTGAAATAAGTATGTTGTATTCAATGTATATGTATATATAGTTAAGTGTGTTATTTTCAAACGCCAGGGCCAAAAATCACCCAATAAATTCTCTATAATTTTATCATAAACAAAAATAATATATTAATTTTCAAATAACATCTCAAAGATAACTTCCTTGTAATCTCTTCAACAACTAACATAAAACAAAATCTTGTGATGTCTTTATATATTTCTTCAGAATTTCCTAACTTCAAAAATAATTATTCTTCTCTTTTGGAAAAGATAAGAACAATACTAAATTATTCATTTGTCGCCGACTCCAAATTACCAAAAACGTCGATGTGTTTCCCATTTGTTACATAAAATGATATATAGTTCATAAAGTAGTGAATAAAAATTTTCCTCTAAGAATTATTTTTAACTTTAATAAATAAATGAATTCTACTAACATTTCCGCTTGAAATAAACGGAAACAGAGAGTACGAAATCATTCCTTAGTTTCGCAAAGCAACTACAGTTTTTCAACATGACCTGAATAGATTCTCGTTGAAAAAAGAAAAGAAAAGAAAAGACCTGAATAGATATAGGTTCATGCCGTCCTTAGAGAGAAAAAACAGATTTGTTCATGGATATATCATTTCATTGACTTTGAAAAAGATATATACAGATCATTATACTGTTCTGACCATTAAAAAAACACATCAAACTTACAACTGTTTTTCTTAATTTTTTTTGAAGTTTCGAAATCTAATCAAATTTTAAAAAAGAGACTAGAAACCTACTCTAAAGTAAATTTTAACTAGTTAAAACTATTTTTATATATAAACTTATTTCCAATCATGCTATTGAACATCAATTATGATCATGTATGAAAAATAATCAAACATAAAATTGATTTTGAATTAATAAAGTCATATTTTAAAATGATTTTAAACTTTCACATAAGAACTATTCTGTTTCCTATCACAATAAAGGAAAGAAAGAAAAAACATACAGTAGATTTTAAGACAAAAAGTAGGAGTAAACAAGCACAGTTTCTAAAAACAACAGGTTTATATATAAACCGAACCTCAATTTATTTTATTTGGTTCGACTTTTGCAGCAGCAGGTTAAGGAGATAGAAGAGGATCGTAGTAACAATTGCAAATAGAAACAAAAGGCAATAAATCCAAGGCAGGAAAGGAATGGAACGAACCTCATGAATCAACAAGCTGTTACTCACTCAAAGACCAGCGCAAGCCACGTGAATCCTAAACGATACAGACCACAGACAATTCTCTCAAAAAATAAGAAAGCAAAATCGGAAGATCAAATACTCGACAGACTTGAGGAAGCGTTCCGCAATAACTCATACCTGCTCTTTGACCAGCGTGACGGCACCGTGGTAACGCCAATCGAAGTAGGAGGCTAGGTCGCCAATAGGAAGGATCGGAACCTTCTGAGAATCGGCAGAAGGACGGAGCCGATTCACTCCGACGAAATGTGTACGGAACTTGAACTCGGTGAGATCGGAGAACAATGTGAGGCAATGGACGGCGCCGGGATCAAGCTTCTGCTGGCGCTTGGCTCTACGGAGGTAAGCCTTGAAGACACGGAACCTGTAATCGTGCTCCTCATCAATGGCGTAGGCCTTTCCGAACTTGAGTTTGGAGTTCTGGAAGTTTTTTGCTCGGCGGTAAGGAGACGACTTCAAGGATCACAAGATCTTCGACCTCGCTGTCGCCGCCGTACATTAGATCGGAAGATACGTCGTAGGCTACCGTCGCCGAAAGTAGAATGGTAAAGAAGAAAGCGATTGCAGCGAGCCGCTCCACAGAGACAGTGACAGAGGGAACGGGGATCTGAGATATTATGGGCTGTACGTCTCGATAACAAATAAAAGGAGAGATATCGCGATGAAGTGAACGACAACTGTACTGCCACGTTTCGGTTTCTTATTGGCTCATTTCCGTGAGCGCGAAAAAACTGTGACGGCAATGATCACTTGGTTAAAATAGCTTTCTTATTCGAAATTTATTTTAGTTATTTTAGTTTGTAATTTCTAATTAATAATTAATATATTCTTCGGTATTTAAATTTACGTCTCACATTTTAATAAATCTTTTAAGATGGTACGGCTCCCGATTTACAAACGGTTGAACTAAAATAATAAATAATAATAATAATAATAATAATAATAAATAAATAGTCTCTAAGTTAATGTCATACCTAAAATGTTTTGATACCAATTGTTGTAGGGATCAAAGCAAAATCAATCTTACTCACACACCCACAAATATAAATAAACAAAGAGACAAATATTTGAGTGGTTCGAAGATAATAAATTATTACACATCCACAAGTAACGACCAATCTTAAGAATTAAACTATTTACAACAAATATTTGAGTGGTTCGCAAATAATAAATTATTCCACATCCACAAGTAACGACCAATCTTAAGAATTAAACTATTTACAAAGTGTATATCTCACACTCTCACACTACAAAGTCTCATTCAGTAAAATTAATCTCAAATGTCACCAGATAAATACAAAATGATACTCAATTTCAATATTCTTCGCCCATATGATTCATGTACCAATATGATATAATATACTAACATGTGAGATGAACCAAATGAATCCAATAGATTCATGAGGTGGGAATGTACCAAAAGTATTCATGAAACAAAACTTCACTACAATTTAAACACATAGTTCAGACATGCTTGATTTCCGTATCTCGAATTGTCAAACCCTTGATCGACTCGGCAGCTGGATGTCGGTTCTCAAAGATGCCTCCGCCACTGGTTCTGCTGCCACCGGTGGTTCTACACCGACCCGAGCCTCCCGACCGTCGTCGTCTTTCATTATGAAAATAAGGGAAGGGGCGGAGGCTCTAATTCTTCTCCATACGGTGGCTGAGTAAGAGTTATTGAGATAGAGGTTGAATGTTTGGTTGCGAATGAAATAACGGAAGAAATAAAAGGTGAGAGCGAAGATGGATACAGAAGCAGTGATGAGAAATAAGCTGCTAAAATAACTGAGGTCAAGGCTGGAAGAAGACGCCTCCGAGCCGTCGCCGTCGCCGCCGCTGCCAAATTGGAAGCTGAGGCTCTTCCCAAACCACTTCTCGTTTATTTCGTTTATTTTCTTACCCTGAACCACTTTCAACACTGCCTCCGACATATCATCAACCAAAGATGAACCTTTTGTGAACGCCTGCAGTCAAACCTTATTGATTTTACTTTTGATTTCCCAAAAAAAAACCTTGTAACAATAGAGATATATTCTTACTCGTAAATCCATGATCAACCCATTTAAATTAGTTAACATGGGACTCCATAGAGCCTCGTTTAAGGCCTATGGAGCCCTCAAACAACGTTCACCTTATAAACGCATGATCAATCCCCCTTAATTAGTCGATATGGAACTTCATAGAGCCTCCCCAAGGCCTATGATACCCTTGAACAAAGTATACCTTATAAATTCATGATCAACCTCCCTAAATAGGTGATGTGAGACTTCATAGAGCTTCCCCTAAGACTTATGGAGTCCTCAAACAAAGTACACCTTATAATTAGTCGGTGTAGGACTCTTTAGAGCCTCCCCTAAAGCCTATGGAGATTTCGAACAAAGTACGTGATTTGTTCGACACTTGAATCACTTTTGACTATACCTTTGAAAAGCCTTAAAAAAAATTGTAAGAGAATTTGAGAGAAGAGTACTTACAAATCCAAAACCAGCGCTATTGTATTGGGAACTGCCAATGAAATAGATACTCGGATATCTTGCAACAAGGAGCTTCATGTAAGGGATCTCGTCAATGACAGCATCAATGCCGCCATTGCGGCCTCCTTTAAAGAAGAGATCATGAAGTTCAGCAGTTGACGCATAAGGCACCAAATTTTTTATCCCTAACAACTTCAACGTATCGTAAACATATGACCCCTCTTGATATCCAATACTCAAGTTGTTTCTTAGTATCTGACTCATGTCGATGACTGGTTGTTGGAGTTGCTGCACCGTTAGCCACGACGTTAAGCTCGCTGTGTAGCTTTGAGTTAGGACGAACACCACGAAGAACCATATCGCTATCACGAACCTTGCTAGATTGCTGGTCAATTTCTCCCCTGCGTCAAAAACAAATTATATTAATTAAAAACAGACGCTTCGACTAGAGAGAGGTTTAGTTATTACTTTGAGCGAAGACCATGATGCTGAAGGAGAACCAAAGACTCGTGCCGATTTGTTGAGACAGCGAACCGGAACGAAAATCTTCACTGTTTTTATGTTCGAGAATCCAAACGACAAAGCCCATGAAGACGAAGAAGCAGAAGCTTGTGACCCAAAGGTCCCAAGTCAAGGGCTTCAAGAACAGCCATGCATGGTTCAGCGAGTCATGTCTTGCACGAACCACCACTGCGATTCCAGGTTCCGTAAATGGCGAAGTAAAGTCCACAAACGCAGTTCTGCTCGCTATTATTGTTATGTCACCAACCGCACCATCATATGTCTGTCCAAAAACATCACCATATTAATTTACAAACTTAGACTGCAAAAATAAAAATACTCATATTTTTTTTTTCTTATGATATTTTCGATTTGGCCAAGCTTCTCCAAAAGACCTCATATTAATGAAGTTTCACATGATCCTTCTCTAAATTAGTGGAGGTGGAACTTTCATCATCCGACACCTCCCCTTAATCGAGCCTCGACTCCTTTGGAGTCTTAGTCATTTTTTAGACTGCCTTCGAGGAGGGCTTGAGCCAATGTGGGACTTTCATCACCCAACACCTCCTCTCGAACAAAGTGCGCCTCAACACCTCCCCTTAATCGAGGCTTGACTCCTTTGGAGTCTTAGTCATTTTTTAGACTGCCCTCGAGGAGGTTTGACTCTTTTTCTTTTGGAGTCCTTTGTTCGATATTTGAGAATTTACCAATCTATTGGCACGATTAAGTTTAGGGCATGACTCTGATACCATGTTAGACGAACACGACTCTCCACAATCGTATGATATCCACTTTGGGCTTTCCTAAAATGTCACGTATGAATAGAGTTAGTATTCCTCACTTCTAAACCCATGATCATTCACTAAATTAGTCGAGATAGGACTTTGATCGTCCAACAATAATTCTTAACTAGTTAATGTGAGATTATTTCTTTCCATAATACCAGACAGTCTGTACCCACCCCTTTGGACACTTCCATAATCAAGTTGTCGTACGATGAAGGTCCGTACCAAACAAATTCATGTGGAAGAAGATAAGGAAGCTCATTAACAGCCGCCGTGAATATATCTAAACAGTATCCGACGATGTTGGGGACCTTGAGGACGGAAGGCTTAAAATCATTATTCAATGGAACTGCGATCTTCAGTATCTTCCTTGGATTAAACGGAACCCATCCCTTGGGAGGTTGAACGGAATATCCAGGCCAAATAATAGGCTTTAATGTACCATTCTCCTTAAATCCAGGATCCCAATATCCCACCGTACTAATTTCTCCCTCTCCAATTACATTCACAATTTGCAAATTTGGGGACTCTGGTTGGCCTTCAACCAGACCAAACTCCCCCCTGCTCACACCTCTGAAGCGTATCTTTGACAGCGCCTCCATGATTTTCCTTCCATTATGAGATACCCCAGAACCGAAATTGGGATCCGTCCCAACAGCACTCTCAGAACCCCCCACCGCCATGGCTAGCGCCCAAGTAGCATCGTAAGCCCACAGCCCATAAACATCAAGTCTCGGGTCATCAATGTCTGGATTGTCCTGTAGAAATTTCCTTCTCCATCGAAGAATGAACTCCTCGAGCTTCTTTGTCCTCGGCACATAATTCTTTACTCCCAAAACCCCCTGCATCGAGCTGAGACTTGAAATGGGCAACGAATTTAAGCCATTTGCCGTGGCTTCAGTAATAATCCAAGCATAGCCTTTGCTCATCAGCCCAAGTTCATCGGCCATGGCGAAGACTCGAGATGCCAAGCTAGGAACCATGTGGACAACGAAAACTGTGGCCTGATTCAAACTCAATATCTCAATCTTTTCTCTAATTTGACCCTCAGAAACTGCAGGGTCGATTCCGTGAATGTCGGTGTGGACATTGTGTATCTGCAAAGCCTGGATGAGATCAGTGACAGTGGACTTTCCAAATTGGTCGTCTTGGTAAACGGTAACCACTTGCTTCCATCCAAAAGAGTTAACGATGTCGGAAATGGCCTGAAATTGGGTGGAGTGGTTGTACGGTACGCGGAAGAAGTACGGAGATTTTAGATAGGACAAACCGGGGGCTGCTGATGGTGCGAACGAGATTATTGGGACCTCGGATTTCTCAGCCAGTTGGATGATGTGGCCAGCCTGGAATGAACTTTCTGGCCCTAATATGGCTTCTACTTCACTCTTCTGTATTAGCTCCGACGCTGTTATTTTGCCAAACACAAACAAAGAAACTCATTAACCCTTCCACACATCCGCTCTTGTGACTTTGTTTTGGACTTTTCTAAAAGGCTTCGTACCAATGAAAGAAGTATTCTTTGTTTATAAACCTATGATCATTCCCTAAATTAGCTAAGTAGAACTTTCATCATCTAACACCTCTTCTCGAACAAAGTGCACCTCCCCTTAATCGAGCCTCGACTCCTTTGGAGTCTTAGTCATTTTTTACTGTCTTCAAGGAGCTTTGACTCCTTTTTCTTTTGAAGTCCTTTGTTTGATATTGGAGGATTTACCAATTTATTGGCATGTCTAAGTTTAGGGCATGGCTCTAATACTAGACAAACACGACTCTCCACAATGATATGATATTGTCGACTTTGAGCATAAGCTCTCATGACTTTGCTTTCTGCTACTAATTTAGGGAATGATCATGGGTTTATAAACACAGAATACTTTCTCCATTGTTAGGAGGCCTTTTGGGTAAGCCCAAAGCAAGGCCACGAGAGCTTATGCTCAAAAGTGGACAGTATCATGCATTATGAAGAGTCGTATTCGTCTAACAAACCCAACTATTCAATATTCAAATGTATTTCTTCACTCTCTATATATAATTAATTAAAGTGTTAAATGAAACTTTTGAATAAGTTAAAAATATATATTTGAAATAAATAATAAGGTAAGAATATTTTTAATTTCTTTTTGAGTTAAAGTATTATTCAAAGTCTCAGAAATTAAAATTCAAACCTCAATAACCAAAATAATATTTAAATAGTTAATGGAAGGAATTCACCCAATATGAAAATAGACGAGAGAGATAAATTTTACCGTTACCTAAATAAGGCCGAAAATTGAAATTATATTTCTGTTCGACACAAAATTAAAAATATATACACACTTATACACCGCCTGCATACACATATATATATATATATACCTCGATTGGCGGCGAGAACAAGATCATCCTCAGAGTCCACGACGTGAAGAACGATCGTGGCGTTGAGTTGCGGATGAGAAGCATTGAAGTCGGAGAGCGCCATATTGATACAACTCAAACTCATCTTCCCAGCCCAACTGCTTAAATCAAGAACCACCCCCACATTCACCACCGCCGTCGTTTTCTTCTCTGCGCCGTACGCCGTCCGCCACAGGAAAACCACCACCACAAACCCTACAAACAAGTCCCTCCAAAAACTGCCTTTTGGCGACGTCATTTCTAGCTCTCAACTTTCAACCAAACACAAATGATTAAATAATCTCCGTCTCCCTCGCTCCATAATTTCTCGGAAATATGATATTTATCCAAAAAATGGCTCACTCTCCAAATAAAAAAATTACGGGTCAAGCCCATTTATTTTTAGAAACTCGTTGACGTGTCAATTTCATTTTGAATTTTTTATTTTTTATTTTTTATTTTATACTTTCCTTTTCTTTCAATTAGTCAATTCAAATTTTAAAATAATAAATTGAGAAAGACGTTTGAAATTGATATTATCAAAAAATGGTTGAAAAAACTATTGGACACGTGGCAGTGTACTACTGGTGGAAAATCATTCGTTTTATTCCATTAGCTTCTAAAGTTGTTACTAATTCAACTCCGTGTTTCTTATATGCATGTTTTGTGTATAAGTCAATGATATTTCGGAGCCATAACTTAAACTGGAAGTCAAGACAAACAAGACTTTAATATTAAAGTCAAGTCAATAATAAATGTTAATTAAAAGAAATTAACAAGGGACACAAAACTATTGGACACGTGGCAGTGTACTACTGGTGGAAAATCATTCATTTAATTCCATTCGCTTCTAAAGTTGTTACTCATTCAACTCCGTGTTTCTTGTATACATGTTTTGTGTATCAAGTCAATGATATTTCGGAGCCATAACTTAAACTGGAAGTCAAGGCAAACAAGACTTTAATATTAAAGTCAAGTCAATAATAAATGTTAATTAAAAGAAATTAACAAGCGACACAAAAACAAAACAAAAACTACGAATCTTGTTCGATGTTTTGATATCAATAATTTTTCCTCAACTTATAATGAAGTAGGAGTTCAAATTTTTTAGTTCATCTCCGTTGATTTTTAAGATTGTTATTGGTGTCTTATTTACTCAGATATGTTCGAATGAATATTGATATTAGATTATTTTACGAATAAATCTGAACAAAGAATAATTACTAATTTTGCACGCACTTTTACAATAAATTTATAAATTTAGGACGAGATAGACCGGAAAAACATAAGAAAAAAATTGCATATTTGTTTGGTGTTTCACATGCGTGCTTCGATACTTAAGTAAGGAATAGAAAAGAAAACGTAGCAAATTTTGGTTTTTCGAGAGTGAAGACTTGGTAATTGAAATGTTCATGGGGGCATTATCGTCTCCCATTTTATTACACGTCCTAACAAAAAAATTATGCTAAAGGTTCGAACATTAAACTATGTAGTTCAAATGTATCAAATTACAATGATGAATAAATTTGAAATTTAAAAACTATATAACTGCTTTTGCTCGACGCTAGCGTTGCTACGAACAACAAGAAAATGGTGGATACTTGGAATGAAAAAAGTTAGCGGTAGTTGCTTCTTCTAATTCAACATCTGTAAGATTTTCTCTCGGGACAAATAGGAGGGGAGGATCGACCCATTTAGTAAAAATTTGAAGAAAGACTTATTTATCCTCCATAAAGGTTTCGAGCTTAGGGGGAGGAAGGGAACCTCGAACATCTCGAGCATACGGTCCAACTAAATAACAATAGAAGCAAACCCTCATTTGATTCAAGGGTTTCTCCAAACCCGGCCAAGAGCCGGTCAGCCCAATAAATCACGTATCAGATCACAAAAAAGTCAAAATTACATCAGTTGTACGATAATCTTCTGGTACCGATTGCATAATACCAAAGCTCCTTTCGACCACCACCTTCCGGACTTTTACGTCACCGTCGTCTGAAAAAAAAAGAACAGAGTTACTGAAATCCGCCGACAGATAGATAGTGATTTTGTAATTTCGTAGATATGGAAGATGAGAACGGCGGCGGCGGCAGTAGCAGTGACTGATGAAGTGCCGGTTGCTGGTCGCTAAGTCGTGGCAGTCTCATCCTCCATCTGATCCTCTTCCTCTCGCTAAGGTCATTCTATCTCTCGATCCGATCCGATTCAATCCGACGAGTCCTCTGCTCTCCAGGTACCTTTGATTTATGACCTGTAACCGATGCAACCAGTAAACCACGAACTCACAATTAGTGAAAATGTGGCCATTAGCCTCTTCATCCTTTCTTATGGTTGGGACAGATCTATGGCGAGAGAGTGAACAAAATTTTCATGAAGTTTTTACGTAAACGTAAACAAAATAGAAAATAATAATAATAATAATAATAAAAATGTACTTAACCCCTCAAATTGACGTGGGATCACTAGTACACTCTAGTGGGGACCACTGTCCTTATAAGCATACCACCATGCTTAGTCTTGATATCATTTGTAGATATTGTTTGCTCTCATTCATTACATATCGTTCTCAGCTTCACAATTTAAAAATATGTGTCATAAGGAGAGATTTTTACACATTTGTAAGAAATATTCTATTCCCTCTCTAATCGAGATTACACAAAAGCAAAATCATGAAAGGTTATGTCTAAAATAGACAATATCAATTACAAGTGACAAAAAAAATTTATTATTGTCGATTTAATTTTAATACTTTATCTTTAATATTATGTTAATCTATACATTAAAAAAAAATTATATATATGTGACGATTATGTTTTAACAATTTTAAAAACGAAATGTTAACAAAAGAGACTAAATAATTATTAGTCTTCTAGTTTTAAATGATACAAACTCTAAAATTCTATAAATTGATTTTTTTTTTCTTATTAACTTCAAATCGAAAGGAATTTAAATTAAAAAAGACCAAGGCAGGAAAATATATATAGTTGTTGCTTAGAGAATGGAAGGTGTTAAAGCAGGCGGCCGGCCACTTAAGTAACAAGGGAATCGCGCTAAAATTCAAATATATTGTGCCGTTAGTCGCCGTTTCTCATCATTTTGCGCATTTCACTCTTAAAAACCATGCTATCTCTCTCTCATTCGTCGTCATGATAAGATTTTTTTTCCCCCTTTAGGATGGAGACTCTTTTTAATGTATATCGATATAATATGATATTGGTGGAAAAATAATTTAGGTTCGGGTTGGTGAAGGGGTGGCTAATTGATTTGTCGATCGGTAGGGACAGCTGAACGTGACTGATGAAGAATATTGAGAGCGAAGAGATTCAAACTCGTAATCATCAAATTCTTTCTACTAATTAGTTTTGGCCAACTATATTATATTCGTGGGAAAGGAAATGATTGGTAGCTCGAAAGTGAAAGTACAAAGAGGACGCGTTTTAAAATCTTGAAGGAAAACCCGAAAGGAAAAGTCTAGAGATGATGCATTTAAAAACTTTGAGTGGAAGCGTGGAAGAGAAAGTTTAAAAATGACAGTATCCCCTCCTCTAACCGATGTGGTATAACGAATCAAGTTTACCATTCTCGTTGGACTTTCCCTCAAAGTTTTTTAAAACGTGTATACTAGGGAGAGGTTTCCACACCTTTATAAATAATGTTTTGTTCTCCTCCCTAATCGATGTGAGATCTCACAATCCACCTCCCTTCGAGGCCTAATCGATGTGGGGATCCCAAAATCCACTCACCTTCTAGGTCCAACATCCTCGTTGAGACACAGCCTTGTGTCCACCCCCCTTTAGGGCTCAGCCTCCTCGTTGGCACACTGCCCAGTGTGTAGTTCTGATATCATTTGTAACGGTCTAAGCCCACCACTAGCAGATATTGTCATCTTTGGACTCTTCTCCCTAAGGTTTTTAAAACGCGTCTGGTAAGTAAAAAATGTTTCGTTCTCCTCTTAATATGGAATCGAACAATATATATTAGTATTTAATTTGCATGGATTATCCGACGATAAAAACCCCTTCAAACTTATCATCATTTCTAAAAAAATAAAAAGACGTTGAAACGTTGGAGGGTGTCATCGAGTGGGCGTTTGAATACAGCAATATAATGGCCAGACGAGAGGGGGTTTCGTTTCAGATTATGGGCATGAATGGGCATTGATGTGCCACTCCCCACTTGCCTATTTCAATTAAGAATATTCCAATTCATCCACTTCCCTCAATTGTGTAATTAAGGCCACTGTTGAAAGGGACCAACTGGGTAATAATGCAGATTTGTGTGAATATATTCCATTGCCATCTTCTCAACCATGCAACTTGGACTCAAATCTCAGCTCATTGGCATTTCGTCGAATGGTTTACAGGCATCTGCTTTTCCCACCTTTTCTTTCTTCTCAACTTGGAGAAAGTCACGTGGATTCTATCTATATCAAAGGATAAACTTAAAATTATAAATTTAGACTATAGTTTAATTATGTTATGGGATGTTTAAACGTAGGTTTGTGTGATAATAATAACAAAAGAGATAGATACGGTCTCATGATTCGATTTTCGAAACTTTGAATCTTGGGTTGTAAATTAGAATCTATCGTATAAATTTTATAAAAGTTAGAATTTCTAACAAGTGAAAAAATGAGCTCAAAAGACACGCATCCCCTAGAACGAGACGCTATGTATGATGAAAAAATTACCAAAATGTCCCTAGAACGAGATATTATGTATGAGAAAAATTACCAAAATGTTCCTAGAAGGAGATGTTATGTATGATTAAAATGACCAAAATGCCCCTAGAAGGAGATGCTATGCATGATGAAAATTACCAAAATACCCCTAAAGGAGACTTGCGTGTGATAAAAATTACCAAAATGCCCCTAGAAAGAGATGTTATGTACGATGTAAAATTACCAAAATGCCCCTAGAGTTCCCACACGTCTTTATAATGAATATAATTAATAGGATAATTGGAAGAACTAAGCTTTAGTGATTTGTGAGCTAATTAAATATGTTTTAATTCAGTAGTTTAAAGATCAAAAGGGTCAGACTCAAAGAACAGTGTATACTTTGTTGGTTTAGGTTTATATACACTCCGAGATCTTAATGCTATAACCTTTCAACACACATTTTTGCAGTCAAAAAGATGAGAAGAAAAAAAAAATCATATGTAATGATGGCTAATGCACTATACTAGATTTACTTGTCGTGTAACGATCCTATTTTTATTATAGGATCGGATCGTTATTATATGTATGTCGTGAACATTTTCAACTAATTCAAGGAAAAGTAGTTATTCTTCCGAGTCTTTAATAAACAATAGCTTAAACATAATCAAACATACTATATTCTTGTCTAAGTGTAATAAATCAAGACCACCGTTAGTATCCGTCTTGATTCGTTATATATCGTCGTCAGTCTCACAATTTTAAAACGTGTATGTTAGGGAGAGGTTTTCACACCCTTATAAAAAATGTTTCATTCTCATCTCTAACTGACGTGGGATCTCACAATCAACCCTCCTTCAGGGTCCAGCGTCTTCTCTAGCACACTGCTTTGTGCCTAGCTCTTGTATCATTTGTAACGGCCCAAGTCTACTGCTAGTAAATATTGTCCGCTTTAACCCGTTACGAATCGTCGTCATCCTCATGATTTTAAAACGTTTCTGTTAAAAAAATGTTTTTACACCCTTATAAAAAATATTTCGTTTCCCTCTCCAACCGATATGGTATCTTACACTAAGACCGAGCTATAAGACATAGAAATCATGAACTAGCTACAAGACATCACATATAACATACATCATGCTTGTTGGGGCGGGTTAAATTCATAACTGTCTTGTTGGTGCGTAAATAACTATCTAATTCTAGCACTTCGGACATGTTCCACAACAGCTTACCTCTTTTAGGACCAACTGCCCTTAACTTGTCGGCCAATGAACCTAGCCAATGCTTGCTGACTCGATTGCTTATTGGACCACTTAACCAATATTTTTGTATTAACTTGGCAGGAAGGCCCAATTGTGTGATTACTATTTTCAAAATTCTAACCCAGGTTAGATCATCACAACTCTCCACAATGATATGATATTGTTTACTTTGAGCATAAGTTCTCATAGCTTACTTTACACTTCTCAAAATGCGACATACGAAGGGAGATAATATTTTTTTATTATAAACTCATGACTATTTCCTAAATTAACAGACGTGGGACTTTCATCTAATAATAATATTCCTATTTTTACAAAAGTTTCGAAAAATTTATAAAATTTTGAGTATTCTTTAAAAAAAAAAAAATTAATAAATTATTTAAATTAATAAATAAGTACTTAATCACACCTAAATAAAGTGGTGGATTATTTATATTTTTAATCAATAAAAAAAAACAATTATTCTATGATATTATTTATGGAATCATTTAATTTGTGGTGTGGAATATCCTCTCTCCCTTGTATTATACAAGGCCCACCCACACTGGAATAAGTGGGTAGAGACATGATCATGTCGATGTTACATGTTGGTTACATTATACCAATTGCTCCTAAATATTATAATAAAGTTTTAATTACATATTTAAATTTCGTAAAGTTTCTTATGCTATAGTATTGTTTGAACACAACCCGTTATGACAATAAATTGTAAAATTAGTAATACACGTGAGTACAATTTTCTATTATGCCCTTAAATTTTAGCGTATATAAAATAAAAATATATATATATATTAAATTGATTTTCTTGGTTAAATAGAATATTCCAAAATTAAAAATTATATATATGTCACCCAAATGTGAAACATGTAAACTAAAGGGTTTGAAAAAATGAAGAAAAAAATATATTTGCATTCAATTTGGTTATTGATTTTGTTCCCTAAAATGTAGAAATCAGCATGCAAATTTAATTAATCAAGGTCTATAATTCTCTTATAAAAACATAATTATTGCAAATTAATTATTCATCTTTTTTACTTTAAATCTCGTCAAATTAAAATTTTATCTTATGTTAAAAAAAATTATTAAATTAAATATTACGAAAGTACAAAGTTCAAAAAAAGCCAAACAAATAATAAAACTAAAATAGTATATAAAATTATATTCTAAAATTGAGTTTTTCTTTTTAAAAGAAAATTATTATAGCTGTCGGGCGTGCGTGTGAGACCCGATTCGTCCACTACTGGCTTGGTCGGACCGGTGTCTAAACGGTTCATATGGCGTTCAGCTAAACTGAATATTATTTATAATAAAGAAAAAAAGAAAATTCCCTGAAAATAAGGATTGTTTGGTGAATTGCCCATTTTCTATAGCTAGTGCCCCAACATACCCAAGTGGTCAATATATATATATTTATATATATATATATATGGTTTTAGAATTAAAATTATTATAAATATACATTTTTTACCTCCAAATTTTACATTAAAGTATGTTTTTGGATTATGAATATATCATTGAACATAATTCTATTAATTAAAATATTAATATATACGTACTAAAAGTTAGAAGGGTTAAAAAGATACATAAAATATATAAATTTTAAAATTTTAAAATAATTAAGACATTTTTTAAAATATTATGCGGCATGCATGAAAGTGCCCACCACCCGCGCTCGTGCGCACAGCGCTATAATATATATATATATATATATATATTTTTTTTTTAATGTTTTCTCTTTGTTTTCTTTTGCATTTATCTCTTTTATTTGGCAATATTTTGATATTATGTAGCAAGTAAATTTTGGCTCCGTAAGTATTAACCTTCCCGAACACCCGTATCACTGTCAGTCTCACAGTTTTAAGATTCGTCTACTCGGGAGAGATATGAGGTCTCACAATTCAAAAATATTGTTTCCCTCCCCAACTGACCTACGATCTCACCATTCACCTTCCTTTGGGGACCAGCCTCACTGGCACACCGTCTGTGTGTATGGCTCTGATACCATTTGTAACCACTCTAAGCCACCCCTACTAGATATTGTTCTCTTTAGACTTTTTCTCAAAAATTTTAAAACGTGTCTATTAAAGAGAGGTTTCTACGTTTTTACAAAAAAAAAAAAGAAAAAAAAATGTTTTGTTGCTCTCTTCAACCAAGATAGAATCTCAGACGTCGATGGTTGGTTCACGGGTCCTGTAGATTGCCATGGGCGGTTGTCGTATCAAGGTGTAGAGTTGATTAGAATGTGGGAGACAACCCCAAAACAAAATTCAACCTTATAAACAGTATCAAGAGACCCCATCATCCTTTTTGTCCAAAACTGGGTCCCCCCACAATTCTTTCCCCTCCATATTTATACCTCTTCAATCGCCCCCTTCTTCCTCCCTCATCCACCATCACCACCTCCTCCTTCCTCTTCTTCCTTAAGCTCGCCATCCATGGCAGACACAGGCTCCGTCTCCGACAGGAGAATGTCGTGTTCTATCCCCGAGAGGTTCCAGCTCCATGCTGCCATGCTGGCCCTGCAATTCGGCTATGCCGGCTTTCATGTCGTCTCTAGAGCTGCCCTCAATATGGGCATTAGTAAACTCGTCTTCCCTGTCTACCGAAACGTCATCGCTTTACTCCTCCTCCTTCCCTTCGCTTATTTCCTTGAAAAGTAAGCTCATTTTTAATATATATAATATAATATAATATAATATAATATATATGACGTGGATTTTTGTTTGGTTTGGAACAGGAAGGATAGGCCTGCACTCACTCTTAACTTTGTCCTTCAGTTCTTCCTGCTCGCTCTCGTTGGGTACTAAAATCAAGAACTCATTTTTGTTTTTTTTTTCCTTAAAAAAATAGAATAATGATTGGGTTTGAATGTGGGCAGAATTACAGCCAATCAAGGGTTTTACTTGCTGGGTTTGGATAATACTTCCCCAACCTTTGCTTCTGCTATTCAGAATTCTGTCCCTGCCATCACTTTCCTCATGGCTGCGCTTCTTAGGTAATAACCCTAATGGCTCCTACGCTACACCGCTGGTAAATATTGTCCTCTTTAAATTTTTTTTTTTTTAGTGTTTCATTTTAAAGTTTTTAAAACACTTATAATAGAGAGAAGTTTTCACTGGTTTCTACATTCTTATAAACAATGTTTCGTTCTCCACAACTTATATGGGATCTTGCAATTCACCTCTTTTAGGTCTAACGGGTACTCGTTCTCTTCTCCAATTGATGTAAGATCCCTCAATCCACCCCCTTCAAGATCTAACGTTTTCGATGTGTCTACCCTTTTTGAGACTTGGCCTCCTCGCTAATACATCACTAGATGTCTCGCTTTGATATCATTTATAACCGCTCAAGCCAATAGCTTTAAAGATATTGTCTTATTTGAATTTTCTCTCTCAAGGATTTTAAAATTAGGTTGTTATGGAGTGTTAGATGAACACGACCTTCAACAATAACATGATATTGTCCACTTTGAGCATAATCACTCATGACTACATGTCAATAGAATCCTCAAATGACAAACAAAGAACTCTAAAAAGAAAAGAAGTCGAACCTCGATTAAGGAGAGGTGTACTTTGCTCGAGGGGAGGTATTGGATGAAAGTCCCACGTCGACTAATTTAGGAATGATCGTGCGTTTATAATCAAATAATACTCTTTCAATTGGCATGAGACCTTTTGGGGAAGCCCAAAACAAAACCACCCGAACTTATACTCGACAATATCATATCATTGTGGAGGGTCCGGTTCATCTCACGACTATAAACAAATTCTTGTCCTTCACACGTTATTTTCCCATCAGGATTGAACAAGTGAGACTGAACCGGAAAGATGGGATAGCAAAGGTGATGGGGACTATATGTTGTGTGGCCGGAGCAACGGTGATCACATTATACAAAGGGCCGACCATCTACAGCCCAGCGACGACTGTGACGGTGGAGGGGACGGCGGAGACGGCAGGGATGCTGATGGGGCCAGGAATGTTCCCGTCACTAGGCGACGCAAAGGGCAAAAGCTGGACCTTAGGGTGCGTGTACTTGATCGGACACTGCTTGTCGTGGTCTGCGTGGCTAGTCTTGCAAGCACCGGTGCTGAAAAAATACCCAGCTCGCCTCTCCGTCACGTCCTTTACTTGCTTCTTTGGCCTCATCCAATTCTTCATTATCGCCGCCGTGTTCGAGCGCGACGCTCAGGCTTGGCTCTTCCACTCCGGCGCCGAAGCCTTTAGCATCGTTTATGCGGTTCGTATTTTTAGTTTCTAAATTCGATTAAATTAAATTACGTAATTCACGTAAAATATTTTTAAAATTAAAATTTTTTGGTTGGTGCGTTATTTGCAGGGGGTGGTGGCTTCGGGGATAGCGTTTGCCGTACAAATATGGTGCATTGACAGAGGTGGCCCGGTCTTCGTTGCTGTCTACCAACCGGTTCAGACCTTCGTTGTCGCTCTCATGGCTTCCTTCGCTTTGGGCGAGGAGTTCTACTTGGGAGGGTTAGCCCTCCTTTTCTCCGTCCCTTCATTCAATCTCAACCGTTCATCTTATCTCATCCAATCAACACGTTACCAACGAAATTAAAATTTTAATTACTTATTTAAAATAAAATAAACATTTAAGAACCTATTATATATTTTTTAAAAGTTTTAAAAAATAATATAAATATATGTTTTTTTTTTAAGTAGTGGGGAGACACATTGATTAAGCATGGGATTGGATGTACAGGATCATAGGAGCTGTGCTGATTATATCAGGACTGTACCTTGTATTGTGGGGCAAGAGCGAAGAAAAGAAGTTCTTATTGGAAAGGGCAGTGATCCAGTCTGTCCCGGACCATGGTACTCGCAGGCCAAGTGGCCACATCAAACCGTCTCTTAACCAGCCACTTCTTCATCCTACGGCTGACAGTGTTTGACCTGCCTCTGAAAAACACTCAAACTTTTGACTACCTAAAGACACGTGTCCTTCCTACATATGTCCGAACAAGCTTCAGTTCAGTTCAGTTCAGTGTGTGTTCTTTTTAAAATTTTTACTTTTTGGTTGAATATTCGCACGCTTACTTTATCTAATTAGGAGAGTTTTTTTTTTCCTTCTTTTTTTCTTTTTTTCGTGTTTAAAAATTAATGAATGAAAGCAAAAAAAAAAAAAAAAAAAAAAAAAAAGCAGGATAACCCTTCATTGCATTTTGCTTAAGAAAAGAAAAGCACTAGTCTTCACATAATGCCTTCCCGTAGTTATTTATTGTATTTATAATTTGTGCTGTTTCAATGGACTGACCTACTCTT